ATGGAATCATACAATGTTTGTCCTTTTGTCTATTTCACTTAGCATGTCTTCAAGGCTTACCCATGTTGTAGCATGACAGAATTTTCTTTTTTATAAGGCTAATATTCCATTGTGTATATACATATATACTCACACACATATTTTATCCATTCATCTGTCAATGAACATTTGAGTTGCTTCTACCTTATGACTGTGAACAATGCTAAAAACATTGACAAACAAATGTGTCCATGTCCCTGCTTCCACTTCTTTGGGGTGTAAACCTAGAAATGGAACTGCTGGATCACAAAATTAATTTTTTGAGTATGGTTTAACCACCACACTGTTGTCCACAATGGCTGTATTTAACATTTTCACCAGCAACGCACAAGGTCCTTTGAGCAATTCCAGTCTTTTGTTCATTTTTTGTTTTTGAGTTCTTTATATATTATCAGATAAATGATTTGCAAATATATTCTCCCATTCTGTGGGTTGCTTTTTCACTGTTGATAACGTCCTTTGAAGCACAATTTAAAAACTGTTTATCTATTTTTCTTTTGCTGTACATGCTTTTGTCATAACATTCAAGAAATCATTGTCAAATCCAGTTGCGAAACTGTCCATTTTCTTCTAAGACTTTTATAATTTTCCCCGAGTTAATTTTTGTATATTGTGTAAGGGTCCAACTTCATTCTTTTGCATGTGGATATCACATTTTCCCAACACCACTTGTTGAAGACTGTCCCTTCCCCATTGACTGAGCTTGGCACTTACGTTGAAAATCACTTGACCATGTATCTGAGCAGTCATTTCTGGCCTATTGTATTCCATTGGTTTACATGTCTGTCTTTATGCCAGGACCACATCTTTGTGATTACTGCAGCTTTGTAGTATGGGTTTCCTTTTTCATTTCTGAAAGATATACACTTCGTCTAGTTCATGTTGAATTCTTAAACCCCCTTTGTTTTCTGACAAGATTAGCACTCTCTGTAGTACCAACTTTAGTTAGGACCCAGGGACAGCTGTGCACAGAGGACTAGAGAACAAGCAGGTAAGCCATTCCACATGGTGTCTGCTTTCTTTGGAAAAGAAAAGGCCCAGTCGCTAGAGTAAAACTGTATGCCTTTATTCAACATAGAATGAGTCAGTAAAATACGGTTTGTCCATGTGCAGAAACATTATACATTCAACTTTGAAGAAGGTATTTTTTATACGACCAAGGAAAGAACAGCCTAAAAGTGAGAGGAAAAAAAGACGATAGTGAGACGCTAAAAGGCAGAGTTTATTTGTCAAAGTGCTAAGGCCTATGCGCACAAAGATTTTAAGTGACTAAGAATTACATAGGGTCATTTCTTTCATTCCGACTTCTCTTGGTGCTGGTGAAGGGTGCGATGCAGTCATAGAATTAAGACAGGTTTAAAAAAACAAAAAAAAGGTCAAAGCACTTACAGCTAAGTTTTTTTTTCCGCAAATTTCTAGTTTCATTTGATATGTTCTCTAGATCTTTCACGAATTCTAGAAATTTTGTGAATTCTCTGAGAACTTGCTCTTTAATCAGTACATTCTTAGAGAACAAATTAAGATGTTTGCCCCAACCTGGAATTTGTCTCCTTATCTAACAAAAGGGTAACCAATCCAAGACTCTGGAAGCATCTGATTAACTTAAAATGTGTGCAAAGTGATTATAGGTAGGTGAAGCTGGAGTCACTACTGAAGAAGTCTCCATACTTACACATGCCTGAAAATCTAAAATGAAAAGAACTACTGACTTAGGGTCAAAGCCCAGCTCTATTAAATTTCCAAGCTCTAGGTATCTGAAGACATTAGATTCTGTTTTTTAAAAGAATGTAAAATTTTACGTATGATACTTTCCATAGGAAAGACATAAGCTGTGTGTAAAATAGTTCTAAAGTATCTTCAGATATTTTGGTAACAATGCACTGCTTTCTAATTGGGCTAATTTGAATCTTAAATATTTAAATATTTTGAGAATCCCTGATTAAACTTAATAAAAGTATTGACTCAAGTTGGTCTAATATAGTGTTTAGGAAGCCAAGTTCCATTTCACTTAACAGACAGAGGTGCACTAATCCTGATTAGTGGCAAAAGCCACCACAGTTCAACAGAAAACTATTCCTTATCCCACAGAATGTCTCAAATCAAACTACAGGTTACACTCATGGCAATTCAACATTACATTAAGTGAATCTAAAAATCTTAAAAGGAAATCTCTCAAAAATGGAATAAACTACTTAATTCAAAGTTTACTTAAATCCATTTAAAACCAAACTCCAGGTTATCTTTCTTCTCCCTAAGGCATCCTCTAGGTTTTACAATTAAGAAGAAAATCAGGATTTTAAAAAATTCCCTTTAGGTTCTTTTGGGTTGGAAGCAGCACGAAAAGCGAGGTGGAAGTTACTCTTCAGGAAAACCCACTATTTAGCCACAGCCCAGTTCCAAGTTGATCATTTCTGGCTCTTTTCCTGGTTTCGCTTTTCCTTCCTTTTACAAGATCTCCTTTCAGGGAATCCCTTTTTAGGTTAAGGCAGAAAGTTACATGGAAGTAGAGTCTATATGGTCTCTATGAAAAACAACAAAAACAACCCAATCTATTGTTAAAGGTTACCAAGTATTAGGAAAATGGAGGACGCTCATCCTCCTGGTTCCTGGACAGAGTTGAAACTACATTACATAGTGGAATACACCAAATTCTTCTTTGAAAAGTGCTAGAGTCCTGCTGAAGCCCTTTTTAATTCAAGTTGTGACTTAAGATAAAAAAGGAAAAGCCACTTCTACAACATTAGAAAAGGACATGAAAGTAATTTTATCCATTATGGAGAAAAACTGGGATGCAACAATTCCGAATGAAGAGATAGCTACTTATCATCTATAAGATGAAAATCGTGTTTTAAGAAAAAGTCCCTTTAGCTTCTTTTAGGTTTGAATAGTGACAGGAAAGCTGCGTTATTTACCCAACTGTATTTGAAAGGGTTTAACAAAACACTAACTTACTGACCTAAATTAACTACTGACAGAGACTGCTGTTGGCCTGCTTCTAATTTAGATGTTAGAGATTTCTTAAAATTTCTATAGACAACTTTAGCTATTCCAACAATAGTTCTCAAAAAAAGTGCATTTTATTAAGATGGCTCATTTCCACACTTTTTCCATCTAGGGACCTTCTTTCTTCATGTATGTGCCACTGCTGTGTCCAGTGTCTCGAACACTTCCATTTCATAACTCATTTACATTTTCAACGTATCTTGGGAAAAAGGTAGCATTATTACTCCTTGAGCCTAGAACTAGAAACATGCTGTATAGTCACTACTTTAGGAAAACCTTTCTGCAATTTACATGACTTTTTGCTTACCTTTGCATAACCAGCACTTTAGTAGAGCTTAGCACACAGTAGGTGCTCTATATTTGAATTAGTAAATAACATGACTTGTACATAAAAAGTTAGACTTCTAAAGACCAGTTGAGGTCAAGCAATCTCAGAAGCTATGAACACAGGTTTCTGACTCTGTGAAGTAAATAAAGGGTAGCTGGGGATCCAAGCTGAAGGTGTCTTGTCTTCTGGTATGTTGCTCTTTCTCCCTCAGGGGCAGACCAACTCTACTTGCAGGCACCCCTGTCATCACCTGAATATAAATTTATCTTCCCATGAGATAGGAGACCCATCTAAATAATGATAAATATGTACCAGAAATGGGGAGTCAATCTTTGTAAATGGTCATTATGGATTAGTTTGTACACATTTAAATATTTTACCTTCATTCTTATTATATATGGAAATTATGAAGATGCTGATGTTCCCTGAGACTTAATAAGTTTCCTTTAGAAATAGCACATTTTCAGCTAAGATCTAGACTGCTTTTCTCTTGGAAGGCTGAATTATCTATCTCCAACATCTTGGGACAACCCAGATATTTGACATTCCAGTATTTGAAAAATAAAAACTGTCTTTTAAAAAGCTAATGTAAAGAAAAAAGCCAATGTATTCTTACATTAACTTCCAAAATGTATTTTTTCTTTACAGTGAAAATAACCACAGCTGGGCAATTATGGGAACTAGCGAACTACAATAAAGTCAGTTTTATGGGTCATCAAGATACATTCTTGAAAATCTGACCTTAACAATTTTTCTTCTAGGTCATCAATGATTTGATATATTATTCACTTGCTTAAAAATAGGTTACTTTTCTTTATGAAGATGATGTAGGTACCATTTTGCTCCTATCATATCCTAAAATCAAGTATTTACTTTGCAGCCACAAAATGAGTTCTCATGGATTAGACAGCAGTCTCGGTATGGGCTTATAGACAACCTCTCCTACCAAGTGGCTCAGACCTCATTTCCATAGCTACCCTTCCTGACACAGGGGAGTTCAAAATTCAAGTGTCAAATGCTCAAATAGAACCTAATCAAGGCACAGGTGTTTCTCTTCACACTATTCTCCTAATTCTTTGACATCTCCAGATTAGACAGGCAGGAAGGACATGACTGGCTATGAAACTCACTTCTGAGAGAACTGGGAAACGGAAAAAAAATTTTTTCTATCATCTTCAAGAGACTATTTCTTCACACACCCCTAAGGCCTGGAAAGTGGTGGTGGCAGTAAATGTCTGCTAATGAATTAACCACTGTGGAGAAAGGAAAACTTATTTTTTTCCCCGAGAGATTTCCTTACCATTCTTTGATTTAGAAGCAAACAATGGGCACATTAATAAAGAGGCTGCACTGCATTTCTTCACTTTTCCAGTAATGTTAGGGGGTTAGGAGACAAAACAGATTAAGGGAGAAAACATGGAGACAGATAGATAAGGAAAATTTAATCAGTTTTACTTAAATTCCAAAAGAAATACACTACCCTGATTTATCATCAAGTTCCTCATTTTACTCTCTTCCATACAATCTGTGGGAACCATCCCATAGTAGTATAAGGTAGTAACAGAGGACCCTTACCCATGCCACTCTCAGATGTACGTCAAACCTCAAGATTCACCAAAAAACTCCAAGGTTTTTATTTTCACTTTTAATGATCTTTTACTTAATAATAAAATGAAAAATAAGAATATAGGAATACATACAATCTATATACATATATTTATTGCAAATACTTAAAATTCTTATGTAAAATGATTTTCTATATTTGTGAAAAAATATGACTTTTTAAATGGTGTTGACACCAACTTCTCTGTACATACCCTCAATTCCAATGTTAACAATTCCTTTAAAAAGGCAAAAGACACAAAAGTTTAGCATTTACCAAACCAGTCTGTACAAACCTTATAGCCAGAAGGGAAAAAAATAGCTTGTGGTAAATAAGTCAATTTTCTTTTAAAATAAAAAATAAACCCCAAAACTATTCCCCTTATTGCATTTTTCTGAAATAATCTGAGTGTCTTTAGAGTAACTTCCTTTGAAATAATTTGTGCCTTAACAGAGAGGTCCTACATCAAACATACCATATATGAGAAATTCAAAGTCTTCCACTGTCACTTTTTACAGATATTAAAATATATATTACTTAAAATATATTACTGGAAAGCTATTTTTAAAATTGATCTTCAATAGTTGTATCAAATGTAAAGCATTAAAAAAAATAAAGTAACCAAGAATCTACGAAGCTATTGCTTCAACTTTAGGAAATGTTTTACCTACTGTTCTCTTTCAATAGGTGTGTAGGTATCGAAACATGGTAGGAAAGGCCCCTGCTTATCACCATGTTTCTCAAAGTCTCTTTGGACTATTCTATAAATTTAGCTGAAAACTACCCTTGGCCAAGTTACTTACGTAGCACACTGTTGTAATGAGATGGGGAGACTTTTCCCTCCTCGCTATGATGTGAAACCTCTAGGTCAAAGAGAAAACACTCTGGCACTGCTCACTGATAGTGAGTTCTAGAAATAAAAAGCAGTGTAATGACCAGAGAAGCCCCCCGCAACTCCTCACCCCCATTACAGCAAATCACTTCACCAGAGAGTTATTTATGGCTCTCTAAGGTGGAGAAAGGCAATAATAAGCAACAGAATGTTAACTGTCAGGTCATTAATATGTATGACTTTGCACCTTCACCTGGAAGGCAATGAGGTCTTCCTTTGGCTATTTAAATCTGAGATAAGCTCTAAAACATGTACATCTGTATGCCTTCACAGCCCAATAAGTATGCTCTCTCCACCCCGAGAAAAGTTTCCCATTTGTCAGCTCTTATTCTTAGAAATGTTACACGAAATACCACAGAGAGCTTCAGTATCTTGAGCATAGGGGTTATGGAACAGAAGTAGGACAAACAACTCCAGGCTATTTGGCTTTACTTTCTGTTTAATAGGATGGAGAATTCTAATTCTTCAAAATTATTTAAGATTCAGGGAGACTTCTTTACTAAACAACTTAGAATCTTTATAAACAAGACTGAGGCTATATTATTAATGCTATCTCCTGGAGTGACCTGCAGTGGAGGACATCTGAAGGCTGGAGAGGGGTGCACGGGAGGCGTATGCATCAGGCATAATGCCTGACTAGTCACTGGAAATAATGCCAGGTCATACCCTAAGAATAAGCTCAGCATTTATTAAAACTTTTCAGATCGGGTTGAAAGGTAAAACGACTCAAAAACTAAGGTAAAGATTGCTTTAAAGGTGCTGCTGGAGTACCATACTACTAATTTAAAGGTTTTGTTTCTACTGGTTCATTTTCTAAAAGGCCAGATTGTAATGTGTGTTTGTTTTTTTTTTAAATTTTTCTGTTCAGCTTTTAAGATGAATGGCTTTCCACTTGAAACTTCTGTGTTCAAACAAACTGATAAATAGATTGATATTCAAGTTACTACCCAACTAAGAGAATTTAACTGTTCTCTTGTCTGGTCAAGATTGAGGCAGTGTATCTAGTTGGCAATATCTGTTTTAGGAGTATTCCTAAATGCAAATATTTAGTTGAGTATTATTTGTTAAGATAATCTGGTGAACAGCAATGTTTAGGACCTATCTAGAAGAGCCGGGGTCAAGATGAAGAGGCACAATATGGTTTGCTCTCTAAACAGACTTAAAAATCCCTGATACCTTTCCTCCTTTCCTAGTTATAGTCTGTTCATCCTTAAATTAAGGGAAGCACAGAGGAAAACCTTTCTGACAGGAAAGGGGTAAAGCAGAAAAATCACTTTCATCAATCCAAATTGGTAACTGACATTTAGCATGGAGTCAATTCCAAAACTCTCAACCTCTTCCAGCACGCTGACCAGCCCTCAGCCCTGGCACTAAGGAAGAGTGATGGGGTAGGGCAGGGAGAGTTATACTCAGCAACAGATCTCTTTAAACCCTTATTGGATTGCCCAAGGTACTGAACGTTTGGGAGAACCATTATTTCTGTTTTCTACCGGTTCTTGGCTTGAAGATATACTCCTTATCCCCAATCCTTGCAGCCTTCTTATCTCTTAGCTGTGTGTGTGTGTGCTGGAAGAAAGGGGGAAAGATGGACAGACATATTGTACTGACTGAAGGTGGAACACAGATATTAATCCTATACTGGCCTTGGGCCACAAAAAAGCCAGAAGTGAAAAGTGAAAAACAGTGAAGTGAGTTTCTTATGGGACGGAGCAGGGGCTGTGGGAAAGCATTAAAGAGTGTGTGATGTGGGGGTGGGGTGGGCAGGGGTAGGTAGTAGAATGGGGGCAAAACAGAGATTATTATTGCCTATTTTCTCCTAATCTGGAACGTGACTTAACAAGTTTAATCTGTTCTGCATTTTATAAATATCACATCCTAAATATGAAGGACAAATACAACTGTACCATGTTGCATTAACATTTGTACTTCATACATTCCAAATCAGGAGACTTGAAATCAATATGCAAATGATGCAAACTGACACACCCCCATTTAATACAAAATTCTGTTAAACTGCAGGTTTAATGTTCCTTAACCATGACCTAAATATTATGTACTCACAAATTCTTCAGTCACTAGAGAAGGATTTAAAAACAAAAAAGGAAACAAGAAAGAAAAAGAAACTAAAACAAACAACCAAAAAAACTTTAGGGCTCATTTTCCTTCTTTTCCAGTTGTTCCCTTAGCCATTCACTGAGGCCCCTTTGCATTAGAAATTTCTAGTGCTCAGACAGCAGTAATCCAAACAAGGCCTATATTTTCTAAAACAGGAAAAGTGTCTTGTATTGTGTATGTGCGTAAAGTAAGATATAAGATGATTTCATCCTGTTCAGATGCCTGGGAGATCAAAGCAGGTTGAACAGAATGAACAAATGTGGCATTGGTGAGCTTTTCTACCTGCAACAACAGCTGACTATCAAGCACTAGGTTAATAGGTTGGGAGAGAAGAGGAAAAGAGAGGTGACCTTGTTCTAGTGTCAAAATTGTTTTCCAAAGTTCTTCACGTTCAATTTAACAGTTTCTATGGTTTCACTCCCCTTGCTCAACAAGATGTAGCTCAAATCACCCAATCACTAACACTTTTCTGTTCATTTTATATTAGTAGTTCAAAATTGTTAGTTACCACGAATGACTAAGTGCGGGGATAGGGTATTTTTGCTGGAACTGTTGCACTGCACAGCCTGTAACAACACACGGGGTCCCAGAGAGGCACTCCCTTCACGGACTACATTCACTGTCTCAGGGCAGGGGGTGGGATCAGGGAACAGCAGGGATCCACAAATTCCAAGCAGACTGCTTGGCAACAGTACTAGACCATGGAAGCCAAGAACCAAGTCAGGGCTTTCTGAGTCTGAAACACTACCTGTGAAATGAATTCCTTACCAAAAATTTCAATTTAAGATTCCACCTAAGGTAAAGGGACTGAGTAAAACCTTGAATCCAAGTCCTGCAAAGGCTGAATAATCTATGAACAAGCTGCAGGCAGACTGTCCAGACAAAATCAGTGTGAATGGCCATTTCTTTAGACCATTCCTTCACTTTCCTTTTCCTAGCTTCCTAGGAAATGTCAGAGGGAGACAGCTTCCTTTTACCATGCTGGCATTAAACTTTTCTCAGTCACAAGTAGTAGAACATAAATCTGAATTCAAAGTAACACATTATTACCTAAACACTTGGGAAAATGTTAAACAAAATGTGACATATTTACATGATTTTGTAAGTGCAAACTTGTCACAAATTCACAAAGTCTTGCTTGACTTAGACTTACTATACAAGGTGCTCTTCCTCTAAAATGTAAAAGATCTGTACTTTGTATTCCTGATTAAGTAACATTTGTCTCTGAAGACAACTGAAACCTACTTGTTTATTTCTGTGATTCCAAAAGGATGCAAAAAACCCAACTGGTCAACCCTTCCCTTCCCCCTCCTTTACAGTGTATCTCTTTCTAGTCTCATTACCGAACAACAAGGCAGGAGACGCACAGTTTGGAGGGGCCAATGCAATCGTCATGGCAGAAAGCGCCACAGCCTTTGCACATGATCATGGCTTTCAAGCGGCAGTAACATTTTGAAGGCGTGCCCTCTATGCTGTTCTCCTCAGGGAAGGCCTGAACAGGAATGGTCTGGCCATGGCTGCTGGGATTCATAGCTTGGCTAGCAGGGATGGTAGTGACAGTCACTGAAAATGACATGACATCACCTACATTGCTAGATACCTGGCTACCTGGTATAGCAGAGTTATGGTCCATGTCAGATGAGGTGGAGACATTGATCATGCCTCTGTAGCTTGGCCCTATCTGGGTGGGGCTTCCATACAACTTCGGGGTTTGCAGGGGTGGAAGGAGTAGGGGCTGGTGGGTGGGGCTGTCTGCAGGCAGAGGAAGAACAGTAGAATTGAAAAGCTCGGGGCTGCTACGGATTGTCTTACCTCTCACTGCATGAGCCATCTGCTTCTGTGCTGCCTGAATTAAATCTCTGGCTAAGGTCTTTTCATCAAATGTCTGGCCTCTAGGGAACAGGTAATTCTCCTTACTTAAAGTGGTTTGCTCGTTCACTGGTATCTCAGGCTTCACATTCTTGCTAGCTAAGCAATCACTGGTAGATACAGTTTCCCTGCTGTGGGGTGCTGAACTTGTGTCACCCTTGCCAGCACTCTGGGAAACCTGGGGCTCCTCTTTCACCATGACAGATTCCTGCTCATCACCAGTACTTTCCTCATCAGTGTCATCTTCTTTGCTGCTGCTACTCTCTCCTGTTGCATTTTTACAGTCTGTATATCCCATTTTCAAGGCTTCAGTGGGGCTGCTTAGACAAAAACGGTCTTCAGGGTTTACAGAATGGGTCCTCCTAAAGCTCTCTGAGCCCCGGCCATAGGTAGAAATATTCAGTAAGTAGTGCCCTGCCATTGCAGGTTTGGATGTCCTTCTGCCAGCAAAACCCAGCATGAACCTCTGGCTTGTGGAGATGTCTTCCAGCTGGAAACCTGAGTGAGCGAAGTTGAACTGCGAGGGCGGCACAACTGAGAGAAGATTCTGCCTCCGAACCCTCTGAATGAGAGTCTGAAGGATCTGATCTTGGGTTGCTTTACTTAGTCCTTCTTGGTATTGGTGTGTGTCAGCGCTGGAGTCCCTCAGCTCCTTAGCTGAAAAGAGCTGAAGGGGCCTTGGAACCTGGGGGAGCTGCTTACTTTGCAAGGTTTTGCCCAGCTGCTGCTGTGTAGCTGGATGGGACTGTCTCTCATTAACTTCCTCTCTGGTGCTATTTTCTGTTGTGTTGGTACCTATGAGCACTCCCATCCCCCTTTCCTCTTGAGTAGTCAGTGGAACCATTTTCATTTCAACTTTGGTGAGAGGTTTAGGCAGAATTTGCTCCATGGGAACATCTTTGCCTTGAAGCAGCTGAGTCACTAAAGGATTATTAGCAGGAATACTAGAGGTTGGTCTTAAAGTGGGTCCATTCATGTTTAAAGAAGTTCCTGGGGTTTTAAGGCTAGAAGCTGCTGGCAAAGTGCTCGAGGGTGGAGCTGATCCAGCAGGTGCTGTAGTTGCACTGACCTGCGGTACAGGAAGCTTTTCTAAAGTGGCTGCGGTCAATAAAGATGTTAAAGGGGAGGGAGTTACAGCCACTGGCACACTAGCATCTGTCTTTGATGAGGCTGAAGGGTTAGGTATATTCTTACTAGGACCTGCTTTGAGCTCAACTGTGCCATCAGCTGCAAAATGAACAGGTGAGGCACCTGAAATTAGAGTAGGACCTGTTGGAGAAGGTGCTTTCTCCTGTCTGCAACTACTGGGCCCTTGTGGATGGCTGAGAGAGGCCACTGTGGCTGTTGCCCTGGTGGGGTTCAGTTTTTCATTATTCAATTTCTCTATGTGGGCTGGTGATGGGACACTTGTGCATGCTCCACTGATGGCAGGTGTTGGAGGCACTGGGGGGGTTTGCTGTAGTTGTGCTCCAGAGACACTATGAGGCTGTGCCTGGCCTGGGGTGGTCTTGGTCTCAGACTGGGGCTGAGTCTCTGGACCACAGGGTAAAAGCTCTCTCGTACCTCCCCTGCTTCCAGTTCCTGCCAGTTCCAGTGTGGGGCCCTTTCCAGTTTCACTGACTCTGTCTGAGCCTGGACTGCCTCCTCTAGCAGTCTGCCCTTCACCACCCTCTCCTGGACCCTGTCCACCCCCTGGGCCAGGTCCTGGAATGGTCCCTCCAACTGAGGCGGCTGCAGCAGCTGCGGCGGCAGCGGCAGCTGCTGCCCTCTGTGCTTTGACCAGTTGAGCTTTTGCTTTGATGTCTGCAAGAGTTCTGGCTCCTGTTCTGTTAGGACTAGTGATGGAGACTGGAAAACGAGCCCTGGGAGAGACCTGCGATGGATGAAACGGCATGGGGGAGATTCTGGAGACCGGGATCTGAAAGAAGTAGAGGGGAAAAAACAACAGAGCTTAGTTTTCATTTCTAAGAATAACAAAACTTCATTAGCCCTCACATTTTAAAAACAGATGAACACTACAGTACCTGTGACAAACATGGGTGGTCTATGGTCGAGAGGCCAAACCTTGGAGAAAGTAACACTAGTTTGTCTCTAGAGTCCTTACATCTGCTTTTTCTATTGGTGCCAAAGACAACTGCTTCCACTCTCAACCCAAATCCCCACACCTCTTTTCCTATCTCAACTCCCTCCTAATGTCACTATCACAAGTGCTTATCATGATGCAAAGCTTTCTAGGGCATTTGCATTTTTAAAAAGTGTATTTATGTTTGAGAAAGGAGAGAAAAGCAAGTAAGCCAGCCACCCATACCACTACTGTCTTTTAGTTCTTAGCTTTACCACCAAGGTCCAGGGGGAAAATACTTGCTCTTTTCTGTTCTACATACACACACACACACACACACACACACACACACACTTGGGCTGGATTATCTCAAATTACACAGGCTTCTAGATAGCACTGGAAGGAAGACAATGTGTGATCCATAGGAGCCCCTACCATGCCCACACACATAAAGGAGTACGTACATAATGTTTACCAGCCATTCTCATCTCTGACTGGTATTATATTTACTTGTGCAACCTTTTAAAAATATATATGCTCTGGGTCCTATCCCAAAAATTACAAATTAGAGTCCCCAGGACCTAGGAATTTTTTTTTTTAATTAAAAGAATTTTTTTTTTTTAGACAAGGTCTTGCTCTGTCACCCAGGCTGGAGTGCAGTGGTGCGATCTCAGCTCACTGCAACCTCAGTCTCCTGGATTCAAGTGATTCTTGTGCCTCTGCCACCCGAGTAGCTGGGATTACAGGTGTGGGCCACACGTCTGGCTAACTTTTGTATTTTCAGTAGAGATGGGGTTTCACCATGTTGGTCAGGCTACTCTTGAACTCCTGACCTCATGTGATACACCTGCCTTGGCCTCCCAAAGTGCTCGGATTACAGGCACGAGCCACTGCACCTAGCCTGAAAAAGTCTGGCCTGTGGTAACTCCTGAGGGAGACTCCAGCTCAAACAAACAAACAAAAAAACGTGTTTCTAAAAAGCTACTTGTGAGATTCTGATGTCTATCAGGTTTGAAACCATTGATTTTCTTCTTCTTTTTTTTTTTTGAGACAGAGTCGCACTCTGTCCCCCAGGCTGGAGTGCAGTGGCACAATCTCAGCTCACTGCAACCTCTGCCTCCCGGGTTCAAGAGATTCTTGTGGCTCACCCTCCCGAGTAGCTGGGATTACAGGTGCCCGCCACCACGTCCAGCTAATTTTTTTGTATTTTTAGTAGAGATGGGGTTTCACCATGTTGGCCAGGATGGTCTCGAACTCCTGACTTCAAGTGATCCACGCACCTCGGCCTCCCAAAGTGCTGGGATTACAGGCGTGAGCCACCATGCCTGGCAAAACCAATGATTTTCATACAATAAAATCATCATGTCTGAAACAAATCTGCCTTCTGTCCTGAACAATACTTTGAAAGCTATTAGAGTTACTAATAATGCATCAAGATGTGCACCGTTCTAGTAACTGGTTGAGTTTAAAGGAGTAAATAACTGTTAAGATGTTCTAAAGCATTTAATTAAAAAAAATTAACCCACTAAACCCTAAGAAAATGCATGCCATTTTTCTTAATGTTCTTAAATTAAGAACAATAAAGTCACTAAACATTTTTCACTATTTGCAATACTAATTTCTCAAAAGGTCAGTAATCCTCAAAAATTGATTCTCTATAATTCCAAAGTTAGAGCCATGGGACTTCATAATAGGTGTCACAGAGTATATGTCTTACATCAGGAAATCTACTTAATCTCTCTAAGAGCTAAATCTATTTCACAGCCAATTCGAACAAGCCTAGATAGCATATTTACTCAGCACATAGTATTTTAGAGGCTGCCTACGGTAAGAAAGCAGCAGTTATTGTCCTTTATTTATATCATATGAAAGAAACTGCAGGGAAAAAATGAAAGAAAAAAAAAAAGATAAAACTAAAAAAGTAAATACAAGAAAGGTGTTTAGGGGAACTTACATAGGGACAAACAACTTTACATAAGAACACTCTTGAGAGTAACACTATACCTAGCATAATACATGGTATCATAATAACACAATCATTAATAACATGTTGAAATCAAATAAGAACCATTAAAAGTGGTTAAAATGAAAGGTTTCAGTATCTAAAAATAAGTTTCAGTTACTTATGTAAATAGCCCTAATACCTGATTATGCAGAATAAATCATATCTTCTTTTTAAGTGCAAAACCACTCAAAGTTGTCCAGGCACTGATAACAATTTAATTTACTGAGAAGTCCTACCTTGGGAGAGCAGAGAGATTCAATCCTTTTCTTTTTAAGTGTACAGTCATCCCTTGGTATCCATGGGGGATTGGTTCTAGGACCCTGGAGGATATCAAAATCTGAGGATGCTCAAGTCCTTTATATAAAATGGCATAGTATTTGCAGATAACCTCCACATATCCTCCTATATATTTTAAGTCACCTCTAGATTACTTATAACACCTAACATAATATAAATGTTATATAAATTGTTATACTGTATTTTTACATTTGTATTCTTTTCCAAATATTTTTACCAGGTGGTTGGTTGATAATATAGAATTAACCTTGAGGATGTGGAACTTGCTGATACAGAGAGCTGACTGTATATGGAATGTAAAACATATAATGTGCATTGTGTGTATATAATTTTTATATACATATGTATGTATATAAAAGTTGTAACTAAGTTGTAACATTTATACTACATTGCAAATTTTGTTTTCTACTACTACTTTGTGAATTTTGTTTTCTACTTAAATTTCGTTTAAAAGGTTTTGTTCTGTTATAAATTACATTAAGCTTTGTCTAAGAAAGCAGTATTTGAGATAGGGTCTAAGGGAAGAGAGTTACTAAAGACACTTCTGGAAAAGTCTTTTTTGAGGAAGATGAAGAGGGAGAAGAAAGGAAAAGAATGGAAAAAAGTAAAATTATATTAACTTGGTCACAGTGGATTAAAGTTTCTGTGTAATCCCTCTGGACTAGCAGAAAGCAGACAGAATATGATGTAACCCAGCCTGTTTACAGGTGAGGAAATAGAAATGATAGGTCTTAGCAACATTTATAGCAAAACCTAAACAGTTACTCAGCTCTCAGGTCTGGAGATAAGCTGTGAATGACATTAAAAAAAAGTTTCTAATATTTTTATAAAAAAGAATAGTAAAAGTGATTAAAACAAAAATCAGAATCTCTGGCAATGCATGTTAAAGGCAGAAAAAAAAAAAAAAAAAGAAAAGAAAAAACCCCCATAGATTCTTAAATGCTAAAATCACCAATCTTAAAGAGCAATGAACTGGCCGGGCGCGGTGGCTCACACCTACAACACTAGCACTTTGGGAGGCTGAGGCAGGTGGATCTTGAGGTCAGGAGTTCAAGACCAGCCTGGCCAACATGGTGAAACCCCTCTACAAATAATTATTTTAATTATTTGTAAACATACAAAAATTAGTTGGGGGTCGTGGCTTACGCCTATAATCCCAGCTACTTGGGAGGCTGAGAAAGGAGAATTCCTTGAATCCGGCAGGCGGAGGCTGCAGTGAGCCGAGACTGCGTCACTGCACTCCAGCCTGGGTGACAGAGCAAGACTTCATCTTGAGGGGGGAAAAAAACAAGCAGTGAATAAAAAAGTAATAAGAAGTATAGACGGTGGCCCATGCCTGTAATCCCAGCACTTTGGGAGGCAGAGGAGGACAGATGACTTGAGGTCAGGAGTTTTTGAGATAGGGTCTAAGGGACCACTGGTCAACATGGTGAAAACCCATCTCTACTAAAAAATAAAATTACAAAAATTAGCCAGGTGCATGCTTGTAATCCCAGCTACTCAGGAGGCTGCTGAGGCAGGAGAATCCCTTGAACCTGGGAGGCGGAGACTGCAGTGAGCCAAGATTGTGCCACTGCACTCCAGCCTGGACCACAGAACAAGACTCCATTTAAAAAAAATAAAAAATAAAAATAAAAAAAATACAATGAGAATGGGTCAAGTTCTAGTAAGTGAATCTTTCCAAGGAATACTTCCTGACAGGACTAATTTTGGTTCACCTAAGTTAAACTAAAAGGGGGAAAAAGTACCTTTACTAGGCTTATTTTTCCATTTACATCCTAATGAGTAATATCCAGTGCCTTGGCTCTTAAATTCCTTGGCAAGAAAAATAAACTATTTATTAAATGAATGAACTGCAAGCTGATATTAAGCAAAAGCCAAAGTATTAATAAACCTTTAAGATCAGAAGTAAAAATGTGTTTGGGTTTTAAAGGGCATTATATATTAAGATAGTCAAAGATACTGCCTAGAAGAATTTGGAAGATTTGACATGCAGCAATATACGGCTAACTGGAAGTTAATCACATGCTAAGCAGTAGAGCTTATCAAGACTATTCCATCTTACTAGTGTCCCTCAAGTAACCAGTAGTGACAGAGGATAGCCACACATATTTCCTTTAATAGGAGGGAGCTAAACGTAGTTCCTGATTCACAGAACATAAAGTCAGTTATGGTAGCAAGAAAAGGGCCAAAGTAAACTAAAAAATCTTTGTACTCTTGGTACAGAGATAGGATCCTTTGATTACACCAATAGTCTCCTCATGCTTAGTCTCACATTTCTTATTTTGTCATATCAGACAATAATTTCCATGATGGTTACAAGATTTCCATAACTGTCTTAAACTCAATAATGGTAGTTATTGTTAATACTTCTGCTTATAAAGGGGCCACATTGTCTGGAGGCATGCATCACAGACTCCCTGTAAAGGAACTGAAGGAAGCCCAAGATTCTTCCACCCTGGGATTGTGATCAACTCTTCTCTGCAATATCTGTGCAAATCCTGGCCCAAAAAATCTAAGAGGTCCTGAGGAGACAGTAGGATAGCTGGCTGTCAATGTTCTACAGAGGCTGAGAATTATAACTAACTTTTTGGAAGTCCATTTAAATTCTATTTGGTCTAACTCTAAGATTCTGAGATCAGTTGCCTCCGAGCTCGAGTAGTGAGAATGGGGCTGGTTTACATTAGATGCCCAGGTACCTTCCTTACGCAAACACCAGTAAAGACCTGTATGTAGGACTGCAGTTCTAAATGCCCATCTGTCATTTTATTTGTGTAAGGCCATAGTTACATACTTACCAAATATATCCAACCGCTTCTGCATTAAGAACTACCACAAATTACTTGAAATTTAGTAGGTATGACCAAAAACATAGGGTTCACACCATCTCTCCTTTTCAATTCTCTCCATTCTCTTACCTTGAGAGGTGGTACTTTTCGCACCTGGACTCTGTCCCCTCTACTGAGAAAGGGCTGTGGTGAGACCTGAAATGGCTGCTGGTGCTGGCGATTCTCAGTGACACGTGGCCTCTTCTCCCAGCTCACAGGGGCCTCTTCTTGGGTAAGGGAAGACTTCCTCTTGAGGCTTTCTGGGTTCTGATCAACAAGAGTTGTTAGAGGTTCTTTCACAGTGGTCTCTTGTGGACCTGCTTCTGCTGTGGGCTTCGTTATTGGTTTTTCAACCCCAGGACTCTTGGGTTTGCTTGGCGATGTAACTAAAGATTCTTGGCTTTCACTTTTGTTATAATTACAAGCTGTGGTGAGATGATTCTTCCCAGATTCCTGTTCAGCAAAGGCGACTGGCTTCTGCTCCAAGAGATCCTCATCCTGTGGGCACTTGATGGGAAGAATGCTGCTAAACTCATGTGTATTGAGAGCTGAGGAAAGCAGGGGCTCTGTAGATGTGGAGAAGTTCGGCTGCACTTCACCTTGGCTTTCACACTCTTCTCTTCTGCCTGGTGATGACATTTGCAACGCTTCTTCTTTACACTCTGACTGGGGGACTACTGGAACTATTCTGATAAGAGAGGCCTCTGACACAGGCATTGATTTTGGTTGTTCAGCTAGGGTTTTCTTTACTTTGGGATCGCTGGGAGAAGCTGTCAATTTCTTAGAATCTTCAAGGCTCAGGCCAGAACTAAAAAGGGGGAAAAAGAAATATTCTAGTTGAGAAATAGCCCACATTGTTGAAAGCATTCATTAATAGAGATAATGGGGCCCGGCGTGGTGGCTCACGCCTGTAATCCCAGCACTTTGGGAGGCCGAGGCAAGTGGATCACGAGGTCAGGAGATTGAGTCCCTCCTGGCTAACACGATGAAACCCCGTCTCTACTAAAAATTCAAAAAATCAGCCAGGCATGGTGGTGGGCACCTGTAGTCCCAGCTACTTGGGAGGCTGAGGCAAGAAAATGGCGTGAACCCGGGAGGCGGAGGTTGCAGTGAGCTGAGATCGTGCCACTGTACTCCAGCCTGGGCGAGAGAGAGACTCTGTCTCCAAAAAAAAAAAAAAAAAAAAAAAAACACTAGAGATAATGGAAGATGACAATGCCTAGGAAAACCCCGGAGACAGCAGGTATTCTTCATGTATTATCTTCACTATCATTAGTAGTGAAAGCTCTGGAGTCAGAGTGCCTGGATTCAAATTCTGGCTCTGACACCTACCATCCCTGTGATATTAAGTAGATGACCAGCCTTCTTTACTTCAGTTTCTTCAACTGTTCACTAGGTTTAATTACTTCATAGTGTTGCTATGATAATTAAGTTAATCCATATAAAGTACTTACCTAACACATAATGAAAGCTCAGTAATGGCAGTTATTATTATTACTTCTGCTTATAAAGGGGCCACATTGTCTGGAGGCATGCATCATAGACTACCTGTAAGGGAACTGAAGGAAGCCCAAGACTCTTCCACCCTGGGATTGTGATCAACTCTTCCCTGCAATATCTGTGCAAACTCTGGCCCAAAAAATCTAAGAGGACCTGAGGAGACAGCTGGCTGTCAATGTTCTATAGAAGCTGAGAATTATAGCTGAGTTTTTGGAAAGCCCATTTAAATCCCACTTGGTTTAGCTCTAAAATTCTGAGATCGAGTGTCTCTAAGATATTCTGAGGGTACAGTTCCAATGAGCTTCCCATAATGTGGCTTGGCTAACAGCTGGGCTAATTTGTAAAGGTCATTAGTGACTCTTCTTAATGTTTTAGAATATTGTACAACATGTAAAATCAATGAGCCTTCTTTGGTGACTTTGAAGAGTGCTTCTGAGACGGGATGACTAGGGACAAAACTGGGCAATAATAAAAAACAGTCTTTCTATAAATGCTGACAGAAAGTAACAGTTGACAATAGAAAGACCCATGAACTGTTGTAATGCTCTATCTGCTTAAGAAGGAGAGATGGGCCAGGCACAGTGACTCATGCCTATAATCCCAGCACTTTGGGAGGTGGGCAGATCGCTTGAACACCAGAGTTTCAGACCAGCCTGTGCAACAGGGCAAAACCCCACCTCTACAAAAAATACAGTAATTAGCTGGGTGTGGTGGCATGCACCTGTAGTCCCAGCTAGCGGGAGGCTGAGGTGGAAGGACTGCCTAAGCCCAGGAGGTTAACGCTACAGTAAACCATGATTGTACCACTGCACTCCAGCCTGGGGGACAGAGTGAAACCCTGTCTTTAAAAAAAAAAAAGAAAGAAAAAAAGAAAGAAAAAGGAGGGAATGAACAAATATTTGTAGAATTACTGCTACCTGCAATAACAGTCTAAATGTACAAAACATCACTTCTATAACTCAATGCTCATACCAAAAATGTAGAAAAATCAGCTTATAGAACTCTTTTTTGAGACAGGGTCTCGCTTCGTCACCCAGGCTGGAGTGCAGTGGTGTAATCTTGGCCACTGCAACCTCCGCCTCCCAGGTTTAAGCAATTCTTCCACCTCAGCCTGGGTCTACAGGAGCGCACCACTACACCCAGCTAATTTTTTGGTATTTTTTGTAGAGATGCATTTTGCCATGTTGCCCAAGTTGGTCTCGAATTCTTGGGCTCAAGTGATCCACCCACCTCGGCCTCCCAAAGCACTGGGATAGAGGTGTGAGCCACCGCACCCGGCCATAGTTTATGGAACTCTTAATCTCAATAGGAATATTTCCTAAATGACTGTGAAGGAGATGGATAACTACTACTTGGAGACAAGGAAAAGGAGCACTTAGTTTTCAAGCTGTGGTTACAGGTCTCCTTAAGAGCTGCCACTGGTGTGCAGAAGGAAGGGAGACTAACAAGTAGGAGTCCAGGTGTTCAATCCTCTTTCAAACAAAACATCTCCCTTACCATCTATTTAAATGTCCTATTACAGTTTCATTGTTGGACCTTTTGTTGAGGGGAAAAAACTGATTTAGGCTACAGTCTCTTTTAAACATAATTTATATCTTTATTCAGCTATGTACATCTCCCAGAGTGCCTTTTACAGAGGACAGGTTGTTTAATTACAGGTTGATTCTAATAGTCCACATTAAAGAATTCCTAAGATTCCTTAGTGATTCTGGATAGCTACATTTTGGGATAATTAACTACTATAAAAAGTGGACAGAACCTCAGCATTCTGACCGGGAGTGGTGGCTCACACCTGTAATCCCAGCACTTTGGGAGGCTGAGGAGGGCAGATCACCTGAGGTCAGGAGTTCTAGACCGGCCTGGCCAACATGGTAAAACCCCAACTCCACTAAAAATACAAAATTTGCCAGGTGTGGTGGTACATGTCTGTAATCCCAGAGACTGGGGAGGCTGAGGCAGGAGAATTGCATGAACCCAGGAGGTGGAGGTTGCAGTGAGTCTGAGATTGCGCCACTGTACTCCAGCCTGGGCGACAAGAATGAAACTCTGTCTCAAAAAAAAAACAAAAAACGAACTTCAGTATTCTTCTATCTTATAAAGTAACCAGAAGAAAAGCCAATCTTTTCAAAGAAAGGGACTCTTAATTCAAGGTTTTTTTGTTTTTAAATGTATTTTATTTTTTTTGAGACAGAATTTTGCTCTTTTTGCCCACCAGGCTGGAGTGCAATGGCGCAATCCTGGCTCATGGCAACCTCCGCCTCCCAGGTTCAAGTAATTCTCCACGCCCAACTAATTTTGTATTTTTTTAGTAGAGACAGGGTTTCACCATGTTGGTCAGGCTGGTCTCAAACTCCAGCCCTCAGGTGATCAGCCCGCCTCGGCCTCCCAAAGTGCTGGGATTATAGGCGTGAGCCACTGTGCCCGGCTAAAAAAATTATTTTTAAAGAAGCCATTTCACCTACAATGACAGTTTTAAGGGTAAAGGATTATGAGTAATCTAATTCTGTGAATCTGCGATTCATAATAAGAAAAAACTTCTTCAGGCCAGGCGCGGTGGCTCAAGCCTGTAATCCCAGCACTTTGGGAGGCCGAGATGGGCGGATCATGAGCTCAGGAGATCGAGACCATCCTGGCTAACACGGTGAAACCCCGTCTCTACTAAAAAATACAAAAAACTAGCCGGGCGAGGTGGCGGGTGCCTGTAGTCCCAGCTACTCGGGAGGCTGAGGCAGGAGAATGGCGTAAACCTGGGAGGCGAAGCTTCCAGTGAGCTGAGATCCGGCCACTGCACTCCAGCCTGGGCGACAGAGCCAGACTCCGTCTCAAAAAAAAAAAAAAAAGAAAAAACTTCTTCCTAAAGAAGAATCAGTGAGACAAAAAAAAAAAAAAAAAAAAAAGGAGGAAACTGGGGCCTAGAATTTCTGCGAGGGTAATGAGATAAAGCACTACATGACATATATACAGGAATTAACATTTGGTTTATAGAACCTGTCTTAATATTACCTCTGCCCATAGTAGCTTTCAAAGAATTGTTCTTTCCATGGCTCCACCTTTTTCTCCTTCTCAATCTCTTGTCGAATTCTCACCTGCATCTCAGGTGTAAACTCACCTGCAATGTACCCAAAAAAGGATATTCAATAGAAAAATGCTATTTGCAACATGTAACTATTTATAAATCATGAAAGACTCATGCAGGAATCAGAATACTATCACGTGAAAGTAACAGCAACTCCCCAAACCTCCTCACTGTAAAGGAGGACGTAAATGCCATTAGGTGAAATAAAAATATGTTTGCACACCACTCCATGTAGCTTTCAGTACTCAGTTGAGGCTGACAGAGCCTTTTCTCTGGGCTTCCCTGTGGTACCTTCCTCACGCTCCAAACATCACATTCCATACAGATTTATTTTATCTCTTACATAGAACTTCCAATTTATTTTCCACTAAAAGAAAAAGTGATGTGCTTTCAATAAACTATGCCACTGGGCATTTTTACTATTTTAAAGTTCAGTTTCTCCAAGGCAACTTAATTTTAGGCTTTTTATGTCTAACTGCATAAAGAAAAGCTATGGCCCTACTTAAAAGCATTCGAGATTCCAGTAAAAAGGTAGGGAGTTATTCTGGAGTTGTCGGTTTTCTAATTGTTCCAGAAATTGTACCAGGCTAATGCTCTAGCAAGAAGATACTCAACATGCCAAAGACCCAACTGCTCTGAATATGCCATTTATTTGCATATACTACCAACCACCTCAATCCTTCCCACTCCATCAGCAGAGAACAGTGAATGTGCTTGGTAGGCCATCTTCAAACTTGTGGCTCAGATAGGCTGCTCCCTTTTATACTCTAATACCCAGGACATCAAGGAATAAGAGGTAGAAATGGCAGAATTTGAAGTTTAAGACCTCCTGGGGGTGAGAAGAAGGAGAGGAAAAGTGTTAGAGGACCGTGGACATCACAGTCATGGGCAAAGGATTGGGAAAAGAGGGAATTTGGCTGTCAGAATCCAACCCAGAACTCCTGCTGTTGAGTCTACTGTGTATCTGAAAATGAGGAATAAAATGTACTGAACCCTGTTCACATATATACAGTGTTCCAAGTTGCTGTTCATAAATATGATCACATGACTATAGGTACAGCAGTCACTTGTTTGCATGTTTAAAAAAAAAGTTAACACTGATAATAATAATCGCTGTATCACTGCTGACAGTGCCTACTTGCAAAAAAGTGGGGGCTGAGGAAGTAAATCCTTTACCAATTTATTGTTAGTTAAAGAAATGTACTGGTAGAAATGGTATGTTTTAATCTTTCCAAAAAAAGGGGGGGTCTCTGCCCAAGAAAAATCTGTAGGAAAGAGAAAGGTCCACAGTAATCAGAGCAAGAGATCCCTTCCACATAGAATTTCTTCTAAAAGAAGAGGATGGGAAAAGTCAACAATTTCAAAAAACAATCTAGATTATATATTAGCTCTTCATTTAACTTAATTGTTAGGGATCTGACAGAAAATAAACAATGAATAGCATTCCTAATGCGCTCCTTACAAATGTATATATTTTAAAGTCTCTCACACTTGTTTAAGGCTATTCTTTGGTATACGACTTTTCAAGTTCTATTATTTATTCCATGTATACTGAAAAACAGATATAATAAAAATAATTCAGCCAGTGGTTTTACTTACGTCTGCATATTAGAATCGTTTGGGAAAACTTTGAAACAAACCAACAAACAAAACCAATAAAGCTCTGACACTAACCCAGAGCAATAAAAACAAAATCATTGACAGTGGCGTCTGCACATCAGTATTTTTAAAAATACCACAGGTGTTTTTCAGCTGCAGAGGTGAAGAACTGCTAGTACTGAGAGATACTACATGCAGTGCCCACACACAATCAGTCATTAGAAGCATGGCACACATGGCAGACCAGTGATCACAGTCAGTAATTTTTGGTCATGATCCATACTTACTACAATGTTCTGACTGCCAATTAACTGTCCATTTCAAAAGGCTGAATTTTATATTATATGAAATATAAAATATGATATATGAAATATGATATATATGATTATATGAAATATACAAATATACCTTAATGAAGTGATCTTTTAAAAAATTCTCACTGATTGATTTTACTGTTAGTTTTATTGAAGCTAGGCAGTAATAAACAGGTTATCTCACTGCTTACCAAACTGGGATGCAGAGCACCATAAAGTGACTAATTCTACACTCTTATTAGGGAGCCTAATAAAATTTCAATTCCTAGGCATTAATGTAGAATTGCTGAATCAGAATCTTTAGAAGCAGGGCACAAAAATCTGTATTTTTTAATTTCTTGGAAGCTTTATATCATTAAATAAACGTGTTGCTGGACTCCATCTGGTGTTAACCTGATAACATAAGCACTAGATAAAAGTCTAACAACATGTTTCACACAGGATAGTTGATTCTATCCTATCGTAACATCCTGTTGTCCTTTACCTTCCAAAACTGCTTAAATTACCTGATGAGGAAGAGAGGTGTTCTGGGTGCACACACCACCTGGGAGACACATTAGGTAGAGCACTTACCTTCTGAGAGTCTTTCCTTCCAGCCTTGGGCTGCTGAAGTGAAGAATTCATTGTTAAGGGCTGAGCCATTTAACTTCATTAAACCATCTGGACCAACCTGGGTCAAAGAATAAGCCAAGGAAAGCTTACAAAGAAAGTGAAAGGTATCATGGGGTATTTGACTTTCCTTTCATTTTAGAAAAGAATGTATATATATTTAATTTTATAGAAATATGAATATCTCATACTATGTGCTTATTCAGGACAACTCTGTTATTTAATGTAATATCACTTTGTTCTAAAACATTGCTTTCCTATTTACCTCTCCTCACTCCTCTCTCCATTCACACCCATTCCCTAATAATTAAAAATCTACTCACAGAACCACACATAAAGTGATGGAACAACTGGCTATCCAACCAGTAGAAAATAAAGCTGAATCCCAGATTCAAATAATGTAAAAAAAAAAAAAAGGATGGACTAAAAATCTAAATGTAAATTTTAAGTCAAAAACAGTTTTTTGAAGAAAATTAAGAAAACGATTTGGACATCCTTGAGACTGAGGAACTCTTCTTAACCCAACTTTACTTTCCAAACCTATGTGGGTCGACATCATTTCCCCCGGCTCTACAGCAGAAATTGGTAAACTTTCTGTAAAGGGCTAGACAACAAATACTTCAACTGTGCAGGCCATATGGCTTGATTTCAGCTACTCAACTCTGCCACTGTAGCACAAAAGTAGTTATGGACAATATGAAAACTAATAGGAGTGGCTTTAAGCCAATAAAACTTCATTAATCAGGCAGTCAGCTGGAAATTGCTTAGTGGGCTGTAGTTTGCTGACTGCTGATTCATACTCCAGAGAACTGGTACAAGGGTAATGGTGTTCCTATAAAAGCAGTTTATCCAGTGTCTACTTGAGTATTACAGTGATAAGCAAGTTACTCCACTACAAGATAATATATTCTGCAGTTTAATCCTCCAACTGTGAAAAAGTTATTTTAATCCCAAATCTGCTTTCTATATAACAAAAGTTTACCTCTTCCATACCATGGGCCTTCAAATATATTGAAAGAGAAGTGTTTTGATCCAAACCTATGTTTTTCTCTGGTCTAAATATTTTTCTACTGCTCATTGCTGGATACTCCACACAGTGAAGTACAGCTTCAAACTTTTCATTCTTTAAACACTCTAAATTGCATCTGACAGTAGTTTGTATTTCACTTAATCGAAATTCCATATTCTCTACACATAGGGACAATGTTACTCAGATTACTGTGGGCTCCAACCGTGTTAACAAATGAAAAACTAGACAAGTAACCCCCTATTAAGAATACCTGGGCTGGGCACGGTGGCTCACGTCTGTAATCCCAGCACTCTGGGAGGCTGAGGCAGGCGGATCACAAGGTCAGGAGATCGAGACCATCCTGGCTAACACAGTGAAACCCCATCTCTACTAAAAATACAAAAAAAACCCAAAAAACAAAAAACAAAAAAAAAAACCAGCCAGGTGTGGCGGCACATGCCTGTAATCTCAGCCACTCGGGAGGCTGAGGCAGGAGAACTGCTTGAACCCGGGAGGCGGAGGTTGCAGTGAGCCGAGATCGAGCCAATGCACTCCAGCCTGGGCGACAGAGTGAGACTCTGTCTCAAAAAAAAAAAAAAAAAAGATGAGAGCAATCTCCAAGAGGTTCTCTTAAAACTGCTGAAACTTCAGTCTCCTAACTTGTTCTAACCAAGAACTGGCATCCTCAAGCTATAATTTCTACAAGAGTTATGGTAGGGAGAGCAGTCACCAAGAAGAATCGGGTTCACTTCTTTGCCCCCACCTCTATAAGAATACCTCATTTATTTGGGCTCTCTGGACAACGGACTCTGAACTCCTTTGACATGTTCTGATTCATAACACTATGAAATTGTTATCAATGAAGTCTAGTAGGAAGATGATTTTCAGAATTAGAAAGATTTAGTTTTAACTCAATAAGTCAATCAGCTAATAATGAATTCTGTAGTCTACTTATTCTGTTATCCTCTTACTATGAACAAGAGTATAACTAGTTCTTTTACTGTGTAAACTAAGGAAAACATCTCTCTCTCATCATTTTAATAAACATTCTTAAAAGTTGGAGGTTAGGGAGACCTATCACATTACTTAGAACACAGCTGAGATTTTTAAAAATCTCACAAGTGAAGAAAGCTTAAAAAATCATAATTCTTCTATCTTCCTTTTCCAGAGGGAGGAAACAGAAGATCAGAAGAGGGAGTGACTTGGTACACTGTTTTCCCTGATGAAAGCCAAAGTCTCAGACCTTTACTTTATTCCTGACCAAGGTAAATCACTAAAGTTCTCTGGTCCCTGCCTTGACGCTTGCCAGACGTTTGGTATTTCTTTTTGCTACTTTTTTTTTAAGTATAACTTGTATTGGGTTTTAAGTTCTCTATTATGGAAGTAATAAATGTTTCTCTTAGAAAAATGTAACAAAAGAATGCAAATTGTGAACATTCTCAAGTCCACCACTGTTCATACCATGTTGCATTGTCTTTCCAGCTGTATTTATTTATCTGGACCTATGTTTTTGGCTTATTCCTCACATTTCCCACTCCACTGAGGCACTGGCCCACATCCTGTTGATACTGGACCACGACAACTCTTCCTCCTGAAGTTTACGTTTTTTTTTTTTTTTCTTGAGATGGAGTTTCACTCTGTCACTCAGGCTGGTGTCCAGTGGCACCGTCTTGGCTCACTGCAATCTCCGCCTCCCAGGTTCAAGTGATTCTCCTGCCTCCACCTCCCGAGTAGCTGGGATTACAGGCACCTGCCACCACACCCGGCTAATTTTTGTATTTTAGTAGAGACAGGGTTTTGCCATGTTGGCCAGGCTGGTCTTGAACTCCGGACCTCAGGTGATCCGCCCTCCTTGGCTGCCCAAAGTGCTGGGACTACAGGTGTGAGCCACCATGACCGGCCTCCTCCTGAACTTCATTCTATGGATGCCTAAATCCTAATACACTCAAAATAATTCTGTAATCTTGAAATTCTGGCAGGAGAATTTTTCTTTTTTTCCTAAGCCTTAAAAAGCTCGCCTATTAAGAAACTTACGTAAAAATATTCTTACTTCTCAGTACCATTAATACCACTTTACAAGTATACATAAACAGCTATTTTTAAAATCTTAAGGAGTTCAATGACGCACCTGTCGATCTACCTCTGGGAGTAGTAGAAGCAGTCGCTGTTGGCAATCTCCAGGAAGGACTGAAAATGTGTGCTTGTTGATCAGTGCTCGCAGATTTGTATTAACCAGAATGGAGTCCGGTGTCTCAACGTCAATGTCGGCACATTTAGTTCTTTTCATTTGTCCTACAAAAACGGAAAAGGATTGTTTGGGCCTCCTTCACAAGTCCTGTTTCTATATAAACTGTAGCTTTCTGTGCAGTATTAAAAATCCACAATTGTAAGCATTTAAATATCACACTGTGAAGAAGGTAACGCTTAAGATCTTAGGATTTTCTTCTAAGACTAACAAAACAAGTTTTGTTCATTTATAGAGGATAAAAGAATACAGTGTATCTATCTTCTCTGCATAAATAGAACAAAGTCTGTAAAAATGAGTCTTCTACCATACTAAAACTGCATTTTATGTTTGACACTAGATTATTTCCCCCAAAAAACTGAGAAAGTTTATGATAAATGATAGGAAGAATGTCTAAGAAAGAAAATCCAAATCTACAAATTATACTGATATCCTTTGCCTCTTTTCATGACTTTTTTTTTCACTGATTTTAATTTGCAGTGGCTAAAAATGTTATGATTTAATAGCTTAGCAGTTTTAGGAAATCTGTCCACAACCAGAAGGTTACAATCTTTCAAAAAACTGAGTACACAAAGGATTAAAATGTAAATAAAAATTTATATATATACACAAAAGACCAACTTGGAAAAAATATTTAGAAGCCATGACAAAAGGCTGCTATTCTTCATATGAAAATAGCAATTACAAATCAATAAGAAAAAGACAAATACCACCAAGAGAAAAATGAGCAAAGGAAATTAAAAGGTAATTCAGTCCACTAACCTTAAGTAGATGCTAAGATATTAATATTTTTTAAAAATGCAAATTAAACCAATGAACATAAAATATTATTTGTCTATGAAGTGGCAAAATATTGCAATATGGTAATGGGAATATGCAGGCGAAAAAAGCAAAAAGCACTTTCAAATACTGCTGATGGGGCTGAATCAGCATAATCTTATAAAATAAAATCTAACAATATCTAGCAAAATGTTAATCTACATAATACTCTGGGACCTATACAATCATACACCCTCTGCCTCCTGGGGGAAGCACAAACAAAAGAAAGGATTTCCCTCAAATTAATCCCACTGGATTCCTACAAATTAAAATCTAGCATTACTACTTCAGAAGGATTACCCAAAAAATGAGAAGTTATGACACTACAAGAGAGAATCATTAGAAACTAGAAATAACAGATGGAGACCTAGAAGTACTGAAGCTATCAGATATATAGAATACAGAATTGCTATGTACAAAATGTTTAAGGAAATAAAGAATGTAATTACAAAAATAAGGACAAAACAATTAGGAATACACAGACTTTAAAAAATGGGACACCTAGAAATGTAGAATAAAAATTGATGAAATTGATTAAACAGTAGTTTCACAATATTAAAGAGGGTCTACACTATATAGCCAAACAATTTACTCTCAATTTACCCAATTTATACTCTCAGAATATAAAGGAAGATAAAATATTTTTAGAGGTTTAGCAAAAACATAAATGACAGAATGAGAAGGTCTAACAAATACCTGACTGAAGATCAAGAATGAGAAAATGAAGAGAATGGAAAAAAGGCAATATTCCAAGAACTGACAGTTGTACATTTACAGCAACTGATGAAAACCACAAACCTAAAGCTCTAGAAGTGGAACATATTCCAAAGAGGACAGAAAGAAATCCATGCAGAGACCCAGCATAGTAAAAGTGTTTATCAAAGACAAAGAAAATAGCTTGAAAGCATCCACGAGGATGGGAACAATCACATAAAAAGGAACGAAAGAGCAGTAGTAAACTTCTTAACACAATGGAATTTAGAATAAGGTAAATAATATCTGTAAAATGCTGAGAGAAAATAATCACTAACCTACAAATGCATGTCCACCAAACTATCCTTCGAAAATGAACATGAAAGAAGGATATTTATAAACCAAAACTGAAGGCATTCACTACTCAGAAACCTGATACAAATACAGTTCTTATTGTACTTCAGGAAAGAAAATCATTGCAGAATGGGTTGAAATACAATAGAGAAAGGTAAACATGTAGATAAATATATGTACACATTGTTTATATAAAATAATAGTATTCTAGTGTCTGATTTGTGAGGTTAAAAACAAAATACAAAAAAAAGACAATATTTATTTAAGTCCAGATATAAAAGATAAGCACTGAACTGTTGTATTTCCCCTGTTCTGGAGGAAAATCAAGATGGTTACTTTTAAGAATTAAAGACATATCACATTTAACTAAAAAATATTTAGAACTATGATATACCAATTTTTTTAAATGTGTGGTACCATTTAAGGAATCACTAACCACTAAGAGAAATCGAGTGCATACCAAACTCAGTAGAGAGAAAAAAAAGGCTACGAGAATCAATATGAATATACCAAAAAAAAAAAAAAAAAAAATTAGTAAAGCCAAAAAACCTTTTCAGAAATTTAAAAGAAGAGTAAGAGACTGCGAGCGGTGGCCCATGCCTGTAATCCTAGCATTTTGGGAGGCCAAGGCAGGCGAATCACTTGAGGGCAGGAGCTCAAGACCAGCCTGGCCAACATGGTGAAACCCCATTTCTACTAAAAGTAAAAAATTAGCTGTGTGTGGTGGCGGGTGCCTGTAATCCCAGCTACTCAGGAGGCTGAGACAGGAGAATCACTTGAACCTGGAAGGCAGAGGTTGCAGTGACCTGAGATCGCGCCACTGCACTCCAGCCTGGGTGACAGAGCGCGACTCTTTCTCGAAGAAAAAAAGAATAAGAAAGGAAACAAGAAACACAGCAATAGGATAAAAACTAAGACTGTAGAAACAAGTCCAAATATTAACAAATACAGTAAATGTAAATAAATAAAACTCATCAAATGAGAGCTTGTCACTGGGTTGAAACCAAAACAAAGAAATTTCAGCCAGTTATAAGCTATTTAGAGAGAGATTACGTAAAGCACAAGGGCAAAGAAATGAAGTCACACACGAGGCAAAAACTAACCATGCATTTATTAACATCAAATGAAAGATTCTTTTAGTAAAAACACTTATTGATGATAAGGTAAATAAACATTCAATCCATCAGAAAGATTTTAAACATGAAAACATCCAATATAAAGTAACTTCAAAACATGTGAAATAAAAACTGAAAGAACTGGACAAACCCACCATTTGGATAGGAAATTTCAACACGTCTCTCTCAATTATTAATAAATCAAGCAAACCAAAAGCAGCTATCACTCACTTAAAAAGCTGATTTCAGGCCAGGCGCAGTGGCTCATGCCTGTAATCCCAGCCCAGCACTTTGGGGGGCCGAGGTGGGTGGTATCACGAGGTCTGGAGTTCAAGACCAGCCTGATCAACACGGTGAAACCCTGTCTCTATTAAAAATACAAAAATTAGCCAGGACTGGTGACATGCGCCTATAATCACAGCTACTCAGGAGGCTGAGGCAGGAGAATTGCTTGAACCTGGGAGGTGGAGGTTGCAGTGAGCCAAGATCATGCCACTGCACTCCAGCCTGGGTGACTGAGCAACACTCTGTGTCAAAAAAAAAAAAAAAGCTGATTTCAGATTAACAAGCTTGCTCTAACAAACACAGAATTATGTGTTGAACGACTAGAGTATACCTACAAAATTCAGATTAGGTCAAAAAAAGGAGGTCTCAGTAAATTTTGAGTAACAGTAGTGCAGTAACAGCAACAGCAGCAGCAGCAAACTTATATAGGGCTTCCTAAGTGCCAGACACTGTTCTAAGTATTTACATATATTCACTCATTTATTTGTCATACAACCCTATGAAGTAGGTAACTATTACCACCCCATTTCACAGATGAAGAAAGTGAGACCCAGATATAACTTGCCCAAATCACATTATTAAGTTAGTGTAGGAATTTAAACCCAGGCAATTTGATTTTAAAGTCTTTTGTTCATCAGTATACCACATAGGCATAAGCATCACACAGTTCATGCATGATATCTGACCAGAGGCTTCATAACAAAAAGATAAACAAAAATCCCTATATATTTGGAAATTAACAATAAACCAAAAAAACTTCAAAATAACTCCTGGGCCAAAGAACAAATTACAATAAAATTTTAAATCTTTTCAAAGTGAATAATAAAAACAGTGTCTAAGAGGTAAATGTTATCTATAAATTCAAATAGTACCTAAAGATACAAAATAAAAACAAAGGTTTCTACATTCAAATCCAACCTTCCTGCCAGAAATGACATTTTAAATTGGATGACATGAAATCACAATGTACATGTTATTCATATTTGGTTTTTAATTTCACTAAATATCTTGAACATTTTTCAAATTATCACCTACAAATTAATCTTCTTTCTTTTAAAAAAGCTGCATCATATTCCAACATACACACCAGGGGTGTCCAATTTTCTGGCTTCCCTGGGCCACACTAGAAGAATTGTTGTGGGCCACACATAAAATACGCTAACACTAACTAATGAGCTGTAACAAAAAGGTAAATAAATAAAAATCACCAAAAAAAAAAATCTCATAATGTTTTAAGAAAGTTTATGAATTTGTGTTGAGCAGCATTCAAAGCCACCCTGGGCCACATGCAGCCTGTGGCAGGTTGGGCAAACTTGCTATACACCATGATTAATTTAAATGGAATACCACTGATGATAAAGGTAGGTGGCTACCAGTTTTTTGTTTAATATAAACAATGTTGCAATGCCTCTATAGACTTTTGAAAAGCAACAGCTTTGTTTGCTTTTCCCATATAATTAATAGAACTGGACTGTCAACCTTTCTTGAATAATTTTTACTATTTATGCATTCATTGTACCTGCACATCACAGTCAAACTTCAGTTAAAATGTTGACTTCTTAAAAGACTGGCAAGTAGTTGTGAATTATTTTCTACTACTGATTGAACTGTGTACCCTGAAGATACTTTTTTGTTTCAAAGTGGTCAGTTTAAGTCCTCTAATTTTAGTAAAGATGACTTACTCAAGTTTTTCCAATTTAGGTTGCCGTAATCTATTATATTATACTTGAAATCTGAGGTATGTTTATTCTTCTGACTGAATCTGGGATGTAAAAATATATATTATCAATTTTACTGAAGTTAATAAAAATGATACCAATGTCAGCTAGAAAGTATTTTATATAAATTAGCTAATTTAGTTTTATCATTTATGTTTTACACAACTTCTTCCACGTGTTTTGAAAATAGTCATTGTGTGGCCAGGCGCGGCGGCTCACGTCTGAAATCCCAGCACTTTGGGAGGCCGAGGCTGGCAGATCATGAGGTCAGGAGATCGAGAGCATCCTGGCTAACACAGTGAAACTCCGTCTGTACCGAAAATACAAAAAAATTAGCCGAGCGTCGTGGCGGGTGCTACTTGGGAGGCTGAGGCAGGAGAATGGCATGAACACAGGAGGTGGAGCTTGCAGTGAGCCGAGATTGCGCCACTGCACTCTAGCCTGGGCAACAGAGTGAGACTCCATCTCAGAAAAAAGAAAATGGTCATTGTGGCTACATTACAAAAATTTCCACACTATTTCCCTTAATGCTCATTTGCTTGAAAGAAGATGGACTTTTGCTTACTTCTCAGCCATCAGGTCAAACTTAAATAAACACAAATGGTGCTTTCTTTTTTTATGGTTAATTTTTCCTAGTTTTCCATGAAAGTTAAAAATTCCTGGCCCATAATTTCTCAATTTTATACCTCTACATTTCTTTTGCAATTTACTAAAATTTCAATTTTAACTGATTTTAAGTAGAATATGGGCTCCATGAGGAAGAAATACTGTTCTGTTCATCATCATAGCCCTAGGACTCTAAATCTGTGTTTGGCTTATTAGCATTCCTTCTATAGATATTTGTTTAATAAATATTTTTATTCTTAGCAGTGAAACTAAGGATCAAAGGGCACATTTGGTTTAAATATGTGATATACTAAATTAAGAAAATGTACAATCCCATCTAGAATCAAACTAAGGTTTTTAGATTTTTTTTTTTTTTTTTACAAAGCATTTGTCTGAAATATTGTTACTTCTATTCTTACACTTAACACTTTAGATCAGTCTGGAATATGTAAACGAATACAGAATAAATTTCCCTCAGAATGTGTCTGCACTGCTATACTTTTAGCTTCTATGTTGCTGCTAAGGATGTCTGTACTCCCAATTCTTGAATCTTTCTATGTGAAGTATTTTTCTTCTTTCTGGAGGCTTTTTGTTACCTTTTCATGACCCTATATGTTTCAAGGATTTTTTTAAAAACGTGCCTTGGCATAGGTTTCTTTTCACTCATGTTTCTTAATCCCTATTACACACTTTTAATCTGGAATTCTGTGGCTTTTTACTCTAAATAATGTTCTTATATTATTTTTATCACATTCTGTTCTTCCTTTCTGATAGTCCTACTATGTGAGACATCGTACAACCTAGATTATTGTTCCAAGTTTCTTACTTTTTCTCTCCTACTGAACCTCTTTTTCACTTTGACAGATTTTTCTAAGAAATTTCTTCAACTTAATGAAACATTATCAAGATGATCTCTGCTTAGCTGGGAATCTATATATTTGCCTGCAGGTTTTTTTCTAAGACTATTCAATGTCTTTAGGTACCAATCCACCAATCTCAAGCTGGACCATGATGGGAGGAAGAAGGAAGTAGTGGTGTTAGAAATATGTCTTGTTAGCATTTTGAAAGCGAAGGAGGAGAATCCCTATTCAATATTTACATTTTACTTGATTTTCCAGATTTCAGTACAGTGCCTCCTCATCTGCCCCCAGCTATGTTTGATATCCCTGAATTTGGAGTTTCTCTGGTTCAAATTTCACCTCAAAATAAACCTCCTGTCTCCTGCTGGGGTAAGGCATCAAACTGCTTCTTACTAACTTTCAAACAAAATTTCCCCCTTCTCTTCTGTAATACATCATATCCCCAATTCTTGAGCCTTCCTGGTGTTCTGCAGCCTTATGTGGCTGGTTTATCCCTGGCAACTGCTCTTCAGCTCAGTGAAAAATTCTATCCAGTTTTCATCTCTCAAAATTTGCTGACGTCTCTTGCCCAGCTGTGGTCTCCTTGTTTTCTTTGTCTGTATGGATTTGATCTTTTGTATTTCCATATTACCATTTCAATGGGATTTCAAAAGGAATAGAGAGAAGAAATCAGTCTGTCATATATATTTAGTTATAAGCCCTTCTTTCTTTCTTTACACAGAAATAAAAAATGAATAATGCTGGACAAAGCAAACTATTGGCAGAAAGGGAAATAAACCACAAAATGACTGATAATAGATCTTTCTCTCAAACACAGCTTGTTAAGAGGAAGACAGGAACAACATGAATACAGTCAAGAGCTCAAAGGTAAACAGGGGATAACAGAAGAAAGACATATGAAACCAATTCTGTTCCTGTTACTTTTCATTTCGTAACAGTAATTATGTTAGCAACAACAAAAGTTATGTCTAATCTTTGTTATGTAACTCAAATCTAAGTTGTAAGTACCTAAGTCAGGTAGCTGATGAATTTTAAACACGCAGCTGATAAATCATGGTAATGAAAACTGAAGTCTTTGTAAGCAAACTTACTGGTATGGAGTCTCTCAGATCTTTGGAATGACTTCTTCCCCAAGCCTAGCAAAGTATTTTCCACTTTAACTGAAGAAGAAAAGCTGGAGTTTGAGTTCTGAGGGCTGTTTGACTGTCCATCAGATTGCTTTCCCTCCCATGTTGCTAGGAGAAAAAAATACGTAAAGACTGGTAGCACTGAGATTATAGACAGAAGCAATTAATCAATCATTCAACATTCACTAAATGAAGTTATGTATGAGGCAATGTGACCCTCCCTAATGTGTTTTGAGTTTGAGAATTAAAGTCAGAGAGTAAAATAAAACTGTTTTTCCTCCCAGCATACTATTTGCTTCTAGTGGTAAATTTCCTTTCTCATAAAAATGCAGTTCTGTAAGATTCAGACTGAGTCTGGCAGGCCCACAGAATCAGCTTATGGTATCAAACTGAATTATGTAATACAATACAGAGTCTGTATGTAGAAAGTTTAGAGTAGAAACAAACACGCAACCACAACAAAAGATCCAAAGGCCTTACAGACATGTCCAAAATAAACTCAAAGGTTGTATGTATTCTTAGGAAAACCTGTTATTCTTACAGAAAACTGGCTAAGAGTTTAGTTTGCGCCTCTTGGAAACATCAGATTTTAAGGTTGTTGATTAGAGGTTTCCAAACATTTATTAGATTAGATCATCTTGAAAGTCAGTCATTTATTTCCTTCTTACATGCAAATCCCAGTGCTAACGTTTTTTTGGAAACAGGGTCTTGCTCTGTCATCCAGGCTGCAGTGCAGTGGTGAGATCAGGGCTAATGGCAGTCTTGACCTCCCAGGCTCAACCAATCCTCCCACCTTAGCTTCCTGAGTAGCTGGGGCTACAGGTGTGCACCACTACATCCGGCTAATTTTGTTTGTTGTTGTTGAGACAGGGTCTCACTATTTTGCCCAGGCTGGTCTTGAACTCCTGGGCTCTGAGTTATTTTTAAATAACAGTATGATTATTTTGCATACAACTTCTCCCATTTATCCTGGAAGGATTTATATTGATGTTCTGGCAGTACAAGGATTGTGTAAGTAAATGTAATTTAAAAATAAATGATGTCATAAACAAATTAGGAAAACCAACACAAAAATACTGAGAAAAAGAAACTTCCATTGAAAAACTGCCCAAACTGCTTACCAGGTTTGGCAGGTACAGAGTCACTGGCTGCTTTGACAGTCTTGAGAGAGAGATGCTGGTTGGAGGAGATGGATATGCTTGGCTTGCACTGCTGCTGCTGCTTCTTCTGCTGTTGCTGCTTTAGAGCCTATAAAGATAAAACAGACTATAAGAAACAAAACAAATCAGTTTTTTAGTAATAATATAAAGTAAATTACTTCTTTTTCAAATGGCAAGAAGCATGCTGATTGTTCCATTTCTTTGAAATCTATCAAAGCAAACAAAATCCTAAATTAAGCCAACTTTCGCTTCTTCGCCTTTTGGCTAAGATCAAATGTAGTATCTGTTCTTATCAGTTTAAATTAAGACAACTAAACACAAAGCCTAAATGATTCTTAGAGTTTGGATAGTTTTTGCCAGTATCATTCCTTTATATAAATGTGAAAAATAGTCATTAGCATTTTTTGGAACTTAAAAAAATCATTAGGTAAGCCAAAAACTTCCCAGTCTTGTAAGCAGAGACTGTATGTTTTCAATCATTTCTAGAAATGAAATTCTAAGCCTTATAACAAAAAGAGCCCTGTCTGCATCAAACCTAAGTAGAAATGTAAATATTTAGTTTATGCAGGCTTCAGAGGTACTATATATGTACAAAAGTTTGTAAATAACTACATCAGTTGTCTTGGGTGACAGCAATGAGATCTGTCCCAATTATCAAATTTCAGCAATTTACAGCAATGCAATAAACAGAGGGGGAAGACTAGACAATACTGGTTCTAACAACAGTGTGGTTCCTTCTGTCTACTTCAGAATATTTTGATTTCTATGAGGTTCTTAATTTATAGAATATACTTGATAATACTATTTAAAATCAACAGAAAAAAACAAGAAATGCCTAAATTTTAATCAGAAAAACATTATGAAGGCAACTTTTAACTTAAGGTTTTTTTAAAAAAAAAAGATAAAGAAACCAAGAAAAGTAATTTCAGGGAAAAAACCTGAAGTTTGACTTTGCTAGGTTGCCAGTTTCAAGATCTTAACGCTGTCATGTGGAAAAGTCTGGAACAACTGGCTACTTCTGGATTCCTATTCTCTTTTCCCAATATAGTTTCCTCCTGCTTAACATTTCACACGTATCTCTGGCTATGCTATAGGCACAGTGGCAACAAATCATCTCCTCACTCTAAGTTGTCAACGCAGAAAAACAACTGAGAGAGCTCTATGTCTCGCTTAGGCTCACCTACATTTATAATAGGTTAGGCAGAAGCACAAAGTACATAAAATGGCTGTACTGACTGACCATTGATTATGGCTTATTCTCTCACTCTTTGCAATTAGGTCAGAAGATGTTCACAGACTTGCTGCAGATGCAGTCACCAGTATTCATTCCTTGCTCCTCACAGGACCCATTAATTTCAGATTAATGTAAAATTTAATAGAACCACTTAATTGCAACTATTTCTGTTGTGATCGTGCACATTTTATTTATTTATTTATTTTTTGAGAACTATTTCTGCTGTGATCGTGTACATTTATTTATTTATTTATTTATTTATTTTTTGAGACGGAGTCTCGCTCTGTCACCCAGGTTGGAGTGCAGTGGCCGGATCTCAGCTCACTGCGAGCTCTGCCTCCTGGGTTTACACCATTCTCCTGCCTCAGCCTCCCGAGTAGCTGGGACTACAGGCACCCACCACCACGCCCAGCTAGTTTTTTGTATTTTTTAGTAGAGACGGGGTTTCACCGTGGTAGCCAGGATGGTCTCGATCTCCTGACCTCATGATCCATCCGTCTCGGCCTCCCAAAGTGCTGGGATTACGGGCTTGAGCCACCGTGCCCGGCCCATTTTTTTTTATTATTTATTATTTAATTTTTTTTTGAGACGGGGTCTTGCTCTATTGCCCAAGCTGGAGTGCAGTGGCACGACCTTGGCTCATTGTAACCTCCACGCCCTGGGTTCAAATGATTCTCTCATCTCATCCTCCAAAGTAGCTGGGATTACAGGAGGTCTCTGAACCCCTGACCTCAGGTGATCCGCCTGCCTTGGCCTCCCAAAGTGCTAGGATTACAGGCATGAGTCACTGTACCCAACAAAGTTAAGTATAGTATAATGTTAAAAAATCCAGGCCAGGTGTGGTGGCTTACACCTGTAATCCCAGCACTTTGGGAGGTTGAGGCAGGTGAATCATTTGAGGTCAGGAGTTCAAGATCAGCCTGACCAACATGGTGAAACCCCGTCTCTACTAAAAACACAAAAATTAGCCAGGCAGTGTGATCAGCACCTGTAAGTAATCCCAGCTACTCGGGAGGCTGAGGTGGAGGCTGCAGTGGGCAACAAGAGAAACTCCGCCTCAAAAAAAAAAAAAAAAAGAAAAGAAAAGAGAAAAAAGGAAAGTCTAGCTGTGCAATTCTGTGTTAGTAGATTAAAAGAGAAAAATCTATGTGATCATCTCAATAAATCCCAAAGAAAACAAACCTGAAAAATTCAACACCTATTCATGATTTAAAAACACACGTACAAACAAACGAAAGATTCTGAGCAAACTATGAACAAATTAGACACTTCAAAAATGTGATAAAAAGAGTATCTACCGGCCAGGTGCGGTGGCACACGCCTGTAATCCCAGGACCTTGGGAGGCCAAGGTTGGTAGATCACAAGGTCAAGAGATCGAGATCATCCTGGCCAACATGGTGAAACCTTGTCTCTACTAAAAACACAAAAACTAGCTGGACGTGGTGGCAGGCGCCTGCAGTCCCAGCTACTAGGGAGGCTGAGGCAGGAGAATTGCTTGAACCCGGGAAGTGGAGGTTGCAGTGAGCCGAGATCATGCCACTGTACTCCAGCCTAGCAACAGAGCAAGACTCCATCTCAAAAAAAAAAGAGTATCTACCAAAAACTTATAACATGTGTTACAAAGAGGTGCATAAATTACTAAAACCACATTGGGCTACTGTATGAAAGTTCCACTGACAAGGGCCCAATGTAAAAAATTTTCAAAAAATATCCAAAGACTGCCGAGGTGTGCGTTTTTAATATAGGAAATTCTACTTGATAAACACAGACTAGCAATGCTTACCTGCTTTAGTGCCTTCTTGCTGTGCTTCTGTGATGGAGAAATGACTTTACCTGCTGGAATGGTGGGTGATGGGCAGCCTGACTGTGGGGAGGACGATGATACTAGGGAAAAAAAAGTGACAATAAAAGATTTTTGTTAACAGAGATATCAAGCACCATTCCTTCCCCAATCATATGCTGCTACCTGGAGTAAGAACTGTGACCAAACACTTTTGGGAACGATGTACTTTTTGGAGTTTTACTGCAAACAGCCTCCCTTTTCAGTTTTTTTCCTCAGAAAGTTCTAGTGAAGGATGATAGGATTGGGAAGGTATGAGTGTTAGTATTCCTCACTTTCCATTTATTAATTTTTCAATAGAATTGACTGAAGAATGACTCATCAAATCAGATAAAACTTAGAAAAGATTCTAGGACCTTTTAGACAGTATCTATGGTCTCACAGTAAATCTAATGACAACATGATATAGTGGAAGGGCCTTGAGCTGGCAGTTTAAAATAAAGACATTAAGGCCATTCGACCTCAAAACTCTACCCTAGTTTTAATCCTTACATTCCTTCATCCTTTAAATCAATAGTTACAGGTTTACCAATGTGAGAGGGCATTTTAAGATTTCTCTAATGGAAGCAATTTGAATTTGCATAGGATGTAACCACTCTCTACTTCATCACTAGCTGTTTTATATAGTCTGGCAGAGCTCAGTCAGACCTGAGTGGGTCTTATGTGAATGAGGGTTCTTTCTTTAAGAATCTATACCTCTTAAACAGCAAGTAGATATTTATGTTCTATAAAATTAAACAATATGTGAGTAGTATTTATGATAAATACAGAAATTGCTGATTTAGTACCCTTATTAAAAAAAAACACAAAACAAGAAATTATAATCACTACTGCTAGTGATGACTCTTGAAGAATGCATGTTTACTAAAGTCTTCCTCTATTCATAGTAGTTGGACTGAAAAGGCCCAAATAGCAAAATGATATCCCATAGTAAGGGCAATAAGCTTTAAGATGTCATAAAAGTACGTACAAGGCGGTGCGCGGTGGCTCACGCCTGCAATCCCAGCACTTTGGGAGGCCAAAGCGGGCAGATGACCTGAGGTCGGAGTTTAAGAACAGCCTGACCAACATGGAGAAACCCCATCTCTACTAAAAATACAAAATTAGCCAGGTGTGGTGGCGTATGCCTGTAATCCCAGCTACTCAGGAGGCTGAGGGAGAAGAATCGCTTGAACCTGGGAGGTGGAAGTTGTGGTGAGGAGATCGTGCCATTGCACTGCAGCCTGGGCAACAAGAGCAAAACTCCGTCTCAAAAAAAAAAAAAAAATTACATACGTACTGATAGGTAGGCTAGCTACCAATCATAAAAATGTAGAAGCATATTTCATTGGTGTATCCAAGTTTTGGACTATGGTATTTCAATTTACTTAGGCGTCCTAAGAAAGGAATGCACAGTAGATGCATTTAAAGAAGATAGCAGCAAACAATTAAGATTATGACTTGGCCGGGCGTGGTGGCTAACGCCTGTAATTCCAGTACTTTGGGAGGCTGAGGCAGGCGGATCAACTGAGGTCAGGAGTTCAAGACCAGCCCGACCAATATGGTAAAACTCCGTCTCTACTAAAAATACAAAAATTAGCCGAGTGTGGTGGCAACATGCCTGTAATCCCAGGCACTCGGAAGGCTGAGGCAGGAGAATCCCTTGAACCCTGGAGGCGGAGGTGGCAGTGAGCCGAGACCATACCATTGCACTCCAGCCTGGGTCACAGAGCGAGAGCCCATCTCAAAAAAAAAAAGATGCTGACTTATCGTCACACTTAGTTTAGTTCTGTATCCCAACCTTTATGAAAAAGTATATAATTTATATATGGAAAAGAGCTGATGTACAAAAAGCTTGATGTTTAAAAATGGAGTTGAATAATTCAAGACAGTTCAGCTGCAAAAAGAAATCATAGCCTCGGCCGGGCGCGGTGGCTCACACCTGTAATCCCAACACTTTGGGAGGATGAGGCTGGCGGATCACGAGGTCAGGAGATCGAGAGCATCCTGGCTAACATGGTGAAACCCTGTCTCTACTAAAAATACAAAAAAATTAGCCGGGCATGGTGGCAGGTGCTTGTAGACCCAGCTACTCTGGCATGAACCTGGGAGGCAGAGCTTGCAGTGAGCCAAGATCGCGCCACTGCACTCCAGCCCGGGTGACAGAGCGAGACTCTGTCTTTAAAAAAAAAAAAATCATAGCCTCAGTATACTTTGATACTGACCAATTTTTTAAAAATAGCTTTATTAAGCTAAAATTTCTATACTAAGCAGCTGGGCATGGTGGCTCACACCTGTAATCCTAGAATTTTGGGAGGCTGAGGCAGGTGGAACACTTGAGGTCAGGAGTTTAAGACCAGCCTGGCCAACATGGTGAAACCCCTACTCTACTAAAATACAAAAATTAGCTGGGTGTGGTGGCACACACCTGTAGTCCCAGCTACTCAGGAGGCTGAGGCAGGAGAATCACTTGAACCTGGGAGGCGGAGGTTGCAGTGAGCTGAGATCACGCCACTGTACTCTAGCCTGGGCAACAGGGTGAGACTCCATCACAAAAGGAAAAAAAAAAAAAAATATATATATATATATAAAAAATTCATATACTATACATCTTGCCTAAAGTATAAAATTTGAAGCCTACTTGAGGGTGGAGGTGGGAGGAGGGTGAGGATCAAAAAATTACCTATCAGGTACTATGCTTATTTCCTGGGTGACAAAGTATTCTGTACACCAAGCCCCCATGACATATAATTTACCTGTATTAAAAACCTGCACATGTACCCCGAACCTAAAATAAAAGTAAAAAAATAAAATAAAATATTTAAACATATGCACACAGATCACAAGTGGGTAGCACAATGAGGTTTTTTTAATAAATTTTTTTAAAAAGGATATTTTAAGCCCACAGCTATCTTTTTGTGATCCCAGCCGGTCACTATCCTCAAGGATGAGCACTATACTGACATCTAACAGCAGAGGTTACTTTTACCTCTTTTACACTTCATATAAATATTGTGCAGCAGAAACTCTTTTGTACATGTCTTTTTACATTCTGTGGGCTGTTTTGAATTTATATGTAGTTTTCCATGTTGCGAATCATTTATTAGCATTGAATTCTGTTGTGAAAATATCACACAATTATTCCACTGCTTATGTACATGTGAGTGTTTTTCATCTGGGAATATTAGGAATAGTACTAGTATATAAATTCTAGAAAATGCATTGGTGACACATAAAAATTTTGGGGTATATATGTAGTAGTGGACTTGTGTTTTATGTTTTACATCTCTTCAGTTTTAGGTGACACTGACAGTTTTTCAAAATGCTTGTACAAAATTTTGAAGCCACCAGCAGTGTATGACTTTTCTACATCCTTGCCAACACTTGGTATTTTCTGTCATTTTCATTTCAATCTCCTGGTTGCTGTGTTTATATCAGGCTTTTCTCAGATTGCTAAGAAAGTTGAACACTTGTTAACACTTTTTTAGTCACTGAATAACCTCTATTTTGAAGACTGTTATTTTGTCTATCTTCCCGTGGTTTTATTAATAGCTATCTTTTTCTTGTTGACTTATGGTAGTTCTTTATATATGCTAGATAGACGTCCTGTTTTAGTCTTCTGATATGGTTTGGCTCTGTGTCCCCACCCAAATCTCATCTTTTTTTTTTGCTTTTTGAGACGGAGTTTTGCTCTTGTCGCCCAGACTGGAGTGCAATGGCACGATCTCAGCTCACTGCAACCTCTGCTTGCCAGGTTCAAGCGATTCTCCTGCCTCAGCCTCCCAAGTAGCTGGGATTACAGGTGCCTGCCACCATGCCCAGCTAATTTTTGTATTTTCAGTAGAGACGGGGTTTCACCATGTTGGCCAGGCTGGTCTCAAACTCCTGACTTCAGGTGATCCACCCACCTCAGCCTCCCAAAGTGCTGGGATTACAGGCACGAGCCACTTCGCTGGGCCCCAAATCTCATCTTGAATTGTAATCCCCACGTGTCAGCAGAGGGACCTGTAATCCCCCACGTGTTGAAGTAGGAAGGTGATTGGATCATGGGGGCAGCTCCCCGCAGGTTGTTCTCATGAGATCTGACGGTTTTTTAAAGGCAATTTTCCCTGCTCTTTCTCACTTCTCTCTCCTGCCACCATGTGAAGTTCGCTGCTTCCCCTTCGCCTTCTGCCATGATTGTTAAGTTTCCTTAGGCCTCCCCGGCCATGTGGAACTGTGAGTCAATTAAACCTTTTTCCTTTATAAATTACCCAGTCTCAGGTATTTATAGCAGTGTGAAAACAAACTAATACATGCTCTCTCGGTCTCTTTCTCCTCTTTCTGAGAAATACTTAAAATATATTTAAATAATCTCATTTGTTATTTCCCCAGTATATTAAATATCTTTTGTTTTATTCAAGGAATCATTCTCTATCTTAAGACCACAAAGATGTTATTTTCTGTTTTCTTTTAAAAGCATCAGGATTTAGGTTTAAACTTTGGTTTTGCAATCCATTCAGAATCAATTTGTTGTGTGACTAGTGATTGTATTTTCCCTGGTAAGCTAACAAAATTAAATTTATTCTGAAAATGTTGGGGGAAAAAACATAAAATTCAATGGCTTTCAATATATTCACCAAGTTGTACAATCATCACCCCTCAAAAAACACCATACATGTTAACTGTTACTCATCTTTTACCCCATCTATGTTCCTGGTCCTAGGTAACCAGTAATCTACTTTCTGTCTTTATAAATTTGCCTCTTAGGGATATTTCATACAATGAAATCATATATTAGTGCTCGTTTATGAATGACTTTTTCAACGACGTGCTTACTTTTGAAGGCGCATCCATGTTTCAATGTGTATGGATACTTTATTCTTTATCGTAGAATAATATTCCATTGCATGCCTATGTCACGTTTTGTCTATTCATCAGCTGATGAACATCTGGATTGTTTCTACTTTTTGGCTATTATGAACAATGTTATGAAGAACATTTGTGTGCAGATGTTTTAAATATGTGCTTTTAGTCTCTTGGGTTCATTCCTAGGAGTGGAATTGCTGGGTCTTACAATAACTCT